ATGACAGAAGTTCTTCTTTCAAGTAAAAGGTGTATTAAGTCTCTATTTTATTGACTACTTTATGAATGATATAGAATGATAAATTTTACTTATAAGTGTCCGGCTATTCCGAATGAACTGAAATGTGTGTTAACATAGTGAACACTTTTTGCCTTTAGTCAAGCGTGAAATTGAGAAAAGTTCATTTGTAACAATCGCTTTCACCCGTTTTCCAAATTCAATTCCTCTTTCTCTAGATGCCATGTGTGCCTTGATCGAAGACCTTTGAATCCAATTTCGAACACCAAAGCTTTTAAAGTCGATATCAATGTTAATGATACGAGCTTCTCAAGTATAAAGATAGGAATGAACCAAAGAATGTTTAGAAGAAACAAAATATCACAAAATAAAATACGAAGTTATGGACTTATAGTGGAAGAACACTGAGGCGTAAATGAAATACTTCACCATGAAGAGTTCAAAGACCGCGGCTATATTGTTTATTAGAAGAGCTATTTTTCTCAAACGATAAACAGTTCTAAGTTAATATGTATAAAGAAAGTTAATGGCACTATCCAAAAAGCATGATTCTTTGGCCCAATACAAAATGTTCATCTTATTATCAATGAAAAGAAAAATGCTAGATAGTACAATCAATTCCAAGCAAATCTGGTTTATGAAGTGGAACCGAATATATTAGATTTGTTATGAATATATTCTTTTAATGATACTCACTTTCATTCGACGGAGACAGTTTAAATGGATCTAGAGAATTTCCATTCTGCAAGTTCAGTTGTGTTTCTGGAGAAACTCGTGATGTAGAAGAACTATGACTACGCCATTTTGCTGCTCCATCGACATTTGTTACTTTTCTTCCTATCATTGCTCGCTTACTATCAGTTGTTGATACTTATGTGAGTACAGAAATCAATTTATGATCTCTAGTTTTATTGTACAAAATTTTATTACTAGCAATTGCTATTCTTATTGTCGTTTCTTATCTCATTGGCAAAGGACCCTGGTGAAGTAAGTGACTCTACTTATTTTGATAAATAAAGCATAAAGCTTTATAAACCAAATCGAGGCGCACCCAATAATATACAACTAAAGCTTGTTCCTGTGACTCGCTTAACCCTCGACTGTATATTCAGCTCTTGCGGTGGTATATAATTCTTTACAGTCTTCAACAAAGCTAGTATCCAACGTTTCAAAATGGTGAGTAGGTGTGTGCACGTTGATGTTAGTGGGTGTGAGTGTGAGCGAGTGTGTGTGGTGGGTGTGGGTGGGCTGGGTGTGGATGACGTGAGTATTGGGGGAGGGGGCGATGTGGGTGTAGATAAATAGAAGAATCATACACACCCCCACACCCACACCCGACCATCAACTGTACTTTCAGAAGATAAGTTGGAAGAAATGGTCACTAGAAGCCAGGGTTGCCAGATCATCCGAATTTTTCGGAAATTTCCGAATTTTCTAAGTTTTTCAGACTGCTTTCCGACTTTCCGAATTCATCCGAATTCTTGAGATTTTTCCGAATTTTTCTGAATCGCAATATTTATTAAAAATTTCTTTTTGCATTACAATTTTCCATTGAACTTTTGATAAATTCCATATTGTGCCATTTTTACTATCCTGTAATCATTAGATAATTGATTTTATTCTGACAGACAAGAAGAGAAGGGAGAGAAGATGTAATATGATAAGCATTTTTTTTTTCAAATTTCATCTAAGATTTCTCAAAATAGCTTCAATCAATGTTTGGTTTTCGAATAACTCATATGAATGACTAGTATCTCTAGAAAGCGTAATCTAAATAACAATAAGGATATTGTTTTACTTTTTAATGGTTATATTTTAGAAAGATTGTTGAATATTGGTGCAAGAGCAAATGAATGTGTTCAATCTGGTCACTTATGTTCATATTTTTTAAATATTGACCCAAAGACAGCACCGAGTTTGAAACTAATTGTTGCCTATGTATTTTATATTCCATGCAGCAGTTCTTTTCTTGAATCAATATTCAGTCACATGACTCACTTATGATCTGATTATCGAAATTGAATGGATATCGAATTGATGAAATCTGAGTTATAAATCAGAAAGAATTCCGATGTACCTTGTGCAAATGTTCCTGACTTTCTTTTACTCAAGAGGAACTATTGAAAAAAATAGCTTAAAATGAAAAGTTTGTTCGAAAAAACGTCTTAGTAAATGAACTTTAGTTTCTTTTTTAATAAATGTTTTGAATTGTAGGTATACATACATGTATAGATAGTTTATTTTGAGTTTTTTTCGTGTATTAACTGTCTCTTCTTGAAAATGATATTTTCTAATAGTACTATATTTAATATATTTGTTTAAATATTGATGAAATATATCTACAGAGAGGATAACCAAATTCAGAAAGCTTTTTTGTACCAAAAAAATCAACTTGAGCGTCAAAAAGCTTAAAAACCACTACTTTCCGAATTTTTTTCCGAATTAGCCAGATATTTTTTCCGAAATTTTCCGAATTCAGGCAAATGAATTCCGATTTGTAAGATTTTGATCTGGCAACCCTGCTAGAAGCCCACAGCTATCTATTAGACAAGGTACTGCTCAAGTCGGTATCAGCAACAGTAGTTACCATGTAGCTATCAAACAATTTCAATTTAAACACTATCGTCCAACTTTGATAGTAGACATTAACGAAGATTATTTAGATCGTCGCAGTGAATTCTGCGAAATATGGCTCGACAAATTTGAGAATGATTCAGATTGAGTTGATTGTATATTCTGGAGCGACGAGGTCAATTTCTGTATGGATACAACAGTTAATCGGCACAATTGCACGTACTGGGCTAGAGAAAATCCGCATTTCAAATATGAAGTACCACACACACAACAAGGGGGCATGGTGGGGTGCGGAATGACTTCCAATGGACTTGTTGGTCGATATGCTTTTAATGATACTGTTATGATATGTTGTTGGTCATGACATCTATTCTTATGTTTATTTCTTTTTCACTTCGTTCTAGTCTTTGTTTGTTTTTCCTTTTACATATATACATTCTTTTTGTTGAATAAACAGGCAGTCAGTTATGCTTCAACATAAAATGAACTCGCACGTCCTTAATATTAAGTGCAAATAAAAGCATAACAGATACTGTTACTGGTTCATTATACAAAGAGATGCTGGTCGAGTATGTATGGTCTCAGCTGAAGTGTAAAAGGTTTCACTTTCAACATGATGGCGCCAGAGCACATTACGCTGTTACTGTTCGAGAGTGGCTTGATGAGAAGTTTTCCAATCGGTGGATCGGCAGACGTGGTCCATTCGACTGGTCAGCGTGTTCTCCAGATTTAGCACCGTGCGATTTCTTTCTTTGGGGGTATTTAAAAGACATCATGTTTCGAAAATCGCCTGCTACAATTATGTAATTTAAACAAAAAATTGAACAGGCCTGCAGACAAGTCACAGAAGAAATGTGTCGCACAGCATATCGCTCTCGTTGTACAACGTTTTCGTGATTACTGGGACAGCGAAGGACAATTTCTTCCATGCTACTGTTGTTGCATTATACAGCAACTATATTGTTTAACAAATAAATAAAAGAATATCCCACAATATCGATCTGTAGCCAAGAGAAAAAAAGCGTTTGTGAACTGTTTAGTGATAAACTGAACGGAATTTTGCTAATTGTATGTGCATAAATGAATTGCTCATTTATGAATAAAAACTTGGAGCTGTTCTCTACTCAGAAAAAAAAAATCAGCTCATTTGGTTGAAGTATGATGAAAGTATTCAATTTTTTTCTTTGCTTAGTTACTTTATGGACACTCGATATGATTGTTAGGAAGCTAGATATGGAAATTATCTGATTAGCTGAACTTCTGGTCGGAAAGAATCTGATTAATCGCAAGCCCGACATCGAAGCTCTCTGATTGGCTGAACTTCCAGCATGAAAGAAGGTAATTGGTTGAAAGCTCGATATCGAAAATGTCGTAATTGGCTGAATTCCCAGCTTGGGAAAATCTGATTAGTTGAAATAGTAGCCCGAAGAAATCTGATTGGTTCAGATTTTGGTCCAAATAAATGTGGAAACCTCGGATATAAATCTGAAAGTTATGTATACTTCAAAAAGTGAATTAGACAGATGAGTCATCCTAGAATGTGTGGACATTAAAATTATCCTGGCAAACCTTTTCTATAACAACTTGAATTCTATTGGCTACTGCTCAATCAATAGGATTTAGGAGCGAATACAGCTCAGATGTGAATTCTTCGCCTTGATTTACCCTAAGAAAGTCGTTTTTTCTATAACTTGATTTCTATTGGTCCTTGCTCAACCAATGGCACTTCGAGGTAAGTGCAGTACAGATTCGAGTTCTCCGCCCCAGAAAACCTCGAAGTACCATCTCTGTGATCGAAAGATAGAGCTCTAATCATGGATCAATCAGAGCATGGGCAAAAACAGAATCAATTTCCGTTTAATTATCTTTGCATTAGGGGGTTAGCCTTCTTATTTCTTTATGTTTTATATACCACTTTGTAGCTCGTGAAATTCTCTGCCGAATAGTATATAATAGTTGGGTTTTATTTGACTATGATAGGAAAAGTTGTTTACGAAAGCGGGAAGGGGTCGATTTTCGCATAGGAAGGCATAGGGAATTGTGACTATTTTTGCAATAACTCAGGAATGGTTCGGCCAATCCTTCTCATCTTCGAACTCGACCGAGATATTGTTGAAACTAAACTGTGTAGAAAATTTCATCGCGATCGGACTCTCCTTTCAAAAGTTATCGTGTAAACGGCGGGCCGATCGGACGGACATACTGACCGATTCTAGAGTGTACTCACTTTTTGAGTACACAAAAATCAAGTTATTAATGTTCATTAATTTGATTCTCATTGTGATCAATTACTAATTTTAATCATAATTGGATTTTATGAAGAATTTAAACATAGATTCAATATGTAAAATAATATCGATTAAAATATTTTTCATTTAAAAATTATTGTTGTATAAGATAAAAATGTGTTAATTATAAATTCTTGGAAAAGATAAATTGAAAGTTTTATTAAAAAAAGGTTGATCATTATTTTTAATATCTAATTGATGTATAATTTGATATGTTGATGGTGATTGTTGAGTAAACATTATTGATTTTGTTTGTATATCAACTTTAATTGATGATTCATCTTTAAAATAATATTTTAAATATCTTAAGATTTCAATTCTTGCTGATTGTGGATCATTTTCTTTAATTTGATAAATACTTTCTAATCTTTCATCCCATATTAAACCATCTGGATATTCAATAGAACCATAATCTTTATTTATCTTATTTAGAAATAAAAATTAATTATTAAAAATTGCAAACAAATAATTACTTTTAATACAATTGTTTCATTAACTTCATTAAATATTCGAAAACGATCAGATGAAGATTGTCTTAATTGTTTTAGTTGAATTCCTTGACCAACTTCCGGCAAAGCAAAATCATCTCGCGTTGAACTTTATTTATTACAAAAATAAAAAAAATATTTAAATAAAAATATCTTACTATTTATCAGTTAAACAAGGTAATGTAAGAATACATGGTGATGATTCATTTAAATGAATTCTAACAAATAAAAATTTATTTTTATTTAAATAAATGAAAAACGCACGTTAGTGTTGCTAGTTGAGATGAAGGCCACACAATTGGCCAATATGATGTTGATAAAGCTAGACGAAGACGACAACCAGCTGGAAGACATACACAAACACCACTTAATGTTACTTCAATACTTTAAAATAAATTAAAAATTTTTAATCTTTATTAAAATATACTTTTGGTTCCAAACCATACATCATATAGAACGGATTCTCAATAATCAAAAATAATTCAAAAATAGGCAAAGATCAGTACCGTCAACATGATTGTTGACGTTCTATATATTACCGAACTGTGATAAGATACTCTTTTATGGACAAATATTAATAAACGGACGATATTTGAATGGTTCTCTTGAGTATTTTCTAAGATCGAAATATAATTCATTCTTTATTCCTAGATAAGTACATTCGATGATAAAAGACATTCTTTTGTTTTATAGATGATCAACAAGATATTTATTCAACTTCGATTTCTTAGTTAATGCCTCACATACCGACATAAGAGACTGTCCATGTATGAAAACGCTGAACAGTCTCTTATCTCTGAGCATTGTCTTCTCTGAATGAGACCACGTTTATAATTAAATCATTTATTCGAAAGAATATTTATTGTACCTTATCATATATACATATCAACTTTGTATGGGCAGAGTCTTAGAGAAACTCGAATAGAAATATAGAAATTAATCTATATAGAGCAAAAAACAGTGTAAATAATCTAATCATTCTGCATGAATATGACTCGAGTACCGTTCTGCGTTATTCGACAGAAACGACCCTAAACTGCACTGTTTTCGTTTGAGTGAAAAACGTTCCATAGTCTCTCTGATGATAAATTAAACCCTAAAAATGTCATCGTTTTTGACCGTTATATCCGTTTTCTATGGTGATAATGATAGAATTTAACGCACTTACTTATAAATTTGATTGATATTTAATAATTTGGGATGTTCGTGTGATTGATAATGTGTTAAATTAAGAACACCACGTGCAATAAGAATTGAAGATGAAGTATTTTGATCAATCATACAAAGACGAACACATATTAGACCAACTTGACTTGAAGAACTTAAATTAAGTTTAACAGTTGGAAATCCAAATAATTCTTAAGAAAACAAAATCAATTGAATTCATTTTAAATAAAAATCAATACCATAATCATCAGTTAATGGAAGAGAATCAAAACACAATGATCTTCCATCATCTTCTCTTTGATCTATTGGATTTGAGGGATGATGAAGATATCCTAATCCACATAAATTTCCACTTGATATTCCCGTTTGTTGAGGAGATGAAAATGATATTTTATTAGGAAATAAATTATTTGAAATAGGTTCAGTTGTCAAAAATCCAAAAGATAAATAATATTTAATTTGTTTTTGATTTATTTGTTGATTTTCATTTGTAAAATAATCATTTCTTTGTAAATGTTCATTTGGATAAAATGGAATATCATTTAAATGAATCCATTTTCCTTTTCTTTGTTTTACAATTGAATGAAGTTCATCAATATTTGGATTTAATTTATAAATAGATATTATTTCTTTTTTATTATAATCATTATCAATTCCTTTAATATAATAATCAAGCCATTGAACTATTTCCAATAAAAACCCAATTTGTGGTCCAGGATAAGCAATATCTCTTTAAAAAAAAAGAATATCAAATATAAAATATATTTAAAATAATTCTACTCACGGCCATTCATGTCCCCATGGACCTAAAATAGCTCGTTTTGGACATTTTAATTTATTTATTAAACGGAAAACTGTATCAGTATAAAGATCAGCAAAACCACCAATTAATAAAACAGGACATAAAATCTTTGAATAATCTTCACAAACACTTCCTGAACGCCAGTATTCATCTCTAAATGAATAAATTAAATTTTATTTAGTTTTTTAGTTATTATTTCTCAAACCGATTTTCATGTTTTATCCAATAAGAATCCAATGGAATTAAATTATTTAATCTTTCTTTCCAAATATTGAATAGATGACTATTTTCATCAATTCCTCCTTGATATGAAGGATGAGGAGGAAGAGATAACCATATTAACATTTGAGTTGACCATGCAAATGCTAAAAACAACATATATATATATATTTCAATTGAGATAAATATAATTTGTCAACCTTCTTGTGCTGCTAAACATCCTCCATAATAATGAGTATCATCACTATAACGATCATCTGTTGAATAAGCTGATATTATTCCGTATAAATTCTATAAATAAAAAATGATTTATTTAGTTTAAAAATAATAATAAAATAAAATACATTAGGTTGAAGATAACCAATTTGTAAGCCATTAATTCCTCCCCAAGATTTTCCATACATAACAACCTTTTATTAAAATATAAATAAATAAACAAATAAATCAAATCTAATAAAATAACTTTTCCATTAGACCACTCTTGTTTTTCAATCCATTTAAGAATTTTTAATCCATCAGATTGTTCTTGTTCAGAATATTCATCATCAAATATCCCTTTTATTTTTCTTAAATAATTAAAAATAAAAAATAAAAAAATAAAAGATAAAACCTTGAGAATTTCCAGTTCCACGAATATCAACTCGAATTGAAACATAACCAAATCCTGATAAATATTTTAATCTAATTTCATCTCTGTGAGATCTATTTTAAATATTAAAATTATTTTATTGAATTAATTATTTGAAAGCTAACGTAAAATCAGATTTTCTATAGGGTAAATATTGTAATATACTTGCAAATTTTTCTTCTTTCCTCAATTCTTCATTTCTGTCTAAAAAAAATTAATTTAAAAAATAAAATTTATATTAAATAATGAAACTTTTTGGCCTCCATATAGTTGCTGCCAATTTAATATTATCTTCAAGTTCTATTGTTATTGATGAATATTTTTCAATAATATATGGATATTCATTACGAATAGATGGATCACAATCATCAACATTAGATGAACGCATTTTTTCAACTTCTGTTTATTTACTTATTTTTTAACTTCTAAAATAGTTCTAAGATATCTTATCTAAAAATAAATTAACCAATGTAGTCAAACTTTTCGTATCTCAATAAGATAGACAGATTGACTTGTGACATCATTATTATTTGCACATCTATTTTTACTGTAACTAATCCGAGAAGACTTCTTTTTATTCCATATTTGTTGTTCTTTGTTAACGTTGATACAGGTAATTAATCAAATAAGCAAAGATGAATTCAAGGTTAAAAAGAATAATGGATAAATACTTTATCGAATCGATAAACGAAATGAAAGATGTCTCTATCGCTTTTATTTCAATAGTATATCATTTTATTAAAAAGATTTTTCCAGTTTAGATTTATGCTACAAATAAAATCTGACGTTTTTTATAATGAGAAGAAATATTTAAAAAGTTGTTCAATAGTCTATTTCGAATAAAATCAACATTATTTGTATCATTAACAAGAATATTCGAAGTTTTCCGAGAGCGTCCGTACATCAATATCACCAATCGGATCATCAATGAATACACCAACAACTAAAATATCAATTCAATGAATTCCAAGGTTGTATGTGCTTGAAACAGTGAACGAGTAGATGCATAGAAAGCACTCCAAGAGTTTCAAACTGTCCGGTCCCACAGGAAGTCAACCATATCGTCAGCGGAATTTGTTTTCGTTTTAAGAAATCCAAGGTTTCTCAGAGTGCGATCCGCCGTCCACATGCCGCTAGTGACTGACTGTTTTACATTATTATTCTTTTGGTTCAATTTTATTTTAATGAATTCGAAAACTAACGATTACAATTAATTAATTAAGTCTGAATAAGTTAATCATGTTAATTAATGTCTTTTTAGGTGTTTATATTGTATTTTTTTATCCATTGAATTCGATATCGAATTTTTGTACTTGGTGATTTCTCAAGTCGACGACATAGAAATTACCGTGTTGATCGAATGACAAACCGAAGGGCATATTGAGTTGGTTTGATGCT